TTGTTTTCCGTGCTGAGCACCAATGCTACCGACGCCAGGGAGGCTACTCCCACACCTGTACCCTACCTATGGACCCATCAACTGATAAATCGGGGACCAACGACTTTACTTCCCTTCCTGAGGAAGGCGTGATCAGAGATGTTATGCCTCAGAACATCCCAGCGCCGCCGACTGGAATTGAACGCAGGCCTGCTGGGATGAGAGGTAATCACGCTTACCACTACACCACCGGCTTTGTAATTATGCTTGACTTCGCATCAACATTTGAGCAACACAGCTCGGACATCATGTCCAAAGCTAACAGGCAACTCGGTTTTATCTTTAAGATCTCCCACGAGGTTCCTCCCTTAGCTCAGTCGGTAAAGGCGCAGCTACAGACCATGCTGGAGGTGGCTTGGTTCGATTCCCGGTTCGGTCTAGGAATTTTTCGGGTTGGAAAATTTCTCGACTTCCTTGGGCAGAATTATGATTTTACTTGCCACACAATTGTACTAATGCAAAAATGGCATCGGAAGCTCTTAATTAATAACTGTGAAAATGCATCTAGAACACTAAGTTGAGAGCACGCAATAAGCTAATATCCAATAAACCATAAGCTTGAAATGCGATGAAGAAGAAGATGACGAGGTTCGTGACCTAACCTGCCTTAAAGCTCTGTATTGCTCTCTCATGCAATCAATCCTGGAATTAGGCGCAGTGCCCGAGTAGGAGAAAATAACTCTTATGTAAGTAATCCTTTTAATTTGTCGAACCTCTTAACGGAATCCCTTTATGAAGAGCTTTGAGTGGGTTGGTTTATTTCCTTTAAATTCCGTTATAATTGCTTATCTTTTGACAGAAACGCGTATTTCGTCTACTACTTGCAGACTTCATCAGTGCCAAGTACTCAACACCACGCGTATCTATCAAAAGATAAGCAATTATAACGGAATTTAAAGGAAATAAACCAACCCACTCAAAGCTCTTCATCTTATGTATGGTTAATCCATACCAATTTAAGGTATCGATATATTCGTTCCTGCTCGGGTGGTATGGTGCCCGTACCAAGCGGTTTGGATAGCGAGGATTGAAGATGTATAAAGGAAATTCGTTCGTTATGCCCTTCGCAACCGTGCTCAGCTCATTCTGCCTTATGAGGATCGGTGTCTACTCCTGGATCTTGATACACTTGAACACAGATGAGTGTTTGACGAATAATTTGTATTGCTCTTTTTCTTATCATAGTCACTTTAATAGTACGTTCAGACTATAGCTGGTATCATGTAATATAGGCTATCTTTATATCAAAAGCCATATCTACGATTTCCGGTGAAAATTTGACGTATATGCTCATTGCAAGATAGCCTATATTACCTGATATCAGCCATAGTCTGAACGCAGGGCTGGTAGTGCTGATGAGATATAATAGTAGTGACTTTGGTGACTAAAATTACGGAAATAGTGACCAAATAGTGACTTTTAAATAATAAATAAGTAACCAATAGTGACATTTATATGATGAATCAGAAACTCAAATAAGGTTTAATATTGAAATAAACTGTTTTTTGTCATGGAACTTAAAATCACATTTCATGAATTTCTCTAATTATATCGAAACTCTCAACGGAATCTTTTATAAAGAGCATTTGAATAGATTTGAATCATTTCCTTTTGATTGCGTTATTCATTTAAATAGCAATTTCCGGATTTTCCCAAAGTTTTTTTTTAAATGTTACTGATTGAGTGATATACGTTAAAATTAATGTGTAAATCAATAAACCAAAATAAACCAGCTTAAATAGGGCTAAATAGATCATTACAACGACAACCTTTTTATCCGAAGATCTTGAATTTGATGCTGCCGTTGAAATCTTTTTTCACATATTTTTTTTCAAAATGATCTCAAGAACTTTTTTAAGAATTATTCCACTTTCTTTAAATTTTTTTATATAACTTTGATAATTTCATTAGAATATTTCACATATTTTTTTTCAAAATGATCTCAAGAACTTTTTTAAGAATTATTCCACTTCTCTTGAACTTCCTTTTAAAACAAGCTTAACAAAAATAATTTTGAGGAAGGTACGAACTGGGTAGAGCATCCCTTTTACCAAACTCATCCCTTAATGAGGGATAGTGAGAGGTGTTTCACCCCACCACACTGGAAAAAGGGATGATCGCCGATTTCCTCATGTACCTTCGATGTGCGGAAACATTTCTATCAATTGTTTCACACTCAAATCGCCATCTGACGTAAGCACCTACCTGATTCGTACCTTTCCAAAAAAATGTCCTTTGCTCGCTTTCAACTTTCTATACACAATTTTCACACTACCGTACTGCAACGGAAGTTAATCATCTTCAACTATGTAAATGGTATGTAAATAATTCACGTTTGAATTAATAAAACATAACTAGTGAAAGTAGATTATATTTGATTTTTTAATTATTCTTCCGGGATTTCCATGAAGATTCTTCCCATAAATCTATTTTGAATTTACTTGAATTCTCCTTAGAATGTCCATGTAATTAACCTAAGAAATATCATGAATTTCTGCTTAGAATAATCTTGGACTTCTCCCCTGAATTATATTGGAAATTCAATTCGTATTCTCCTCAGAATTTCCATGGTATTTTCTCAGAATTCTCAAAACAAAAATCCATCTCAGAATACCCTTGAAAATCTCCGAAGAATTCCTTTGAGATTGAAGATTGATTATCCACGATGCCCCATGAGTTTCCTCTATTAGCAACGTGTGTCAAACTAACAATCCTTTCCCTACTCGACGATCGTAAGGACGTAGCCTGCGCCGTTATTGACCTGAAAAGTAATGATTTACTGGACTTTTGACACTGAAAATGAATTGCTAATACCGAGCCCTGTTTACATGGTTCTTCGTGCGAATTTGGATAGATTTTGTCAATCACTGAGTAGCAGCTACTGAATTGTATGGTTGTTAATGCGCATGCTCATACTCATTTTATGACCGTCGTCACCTGTACGCAGAGTTGCGACCTATCACAATCACGATCGTCAAACAGCTGATGGTAGTAACGCTTTGTACATTCATATCAATGTGCTCGTCGAAGCTCTCTCCATGACCATCCATCAAGTTGACGAAAGAAGTAAAAAGCAACTGGTGAATGTCGTCTTCTGTTGTGATCCATCACCAATCTGGTCATTCCCGACAATCACGACACTCATCTGTGCTCGTTTTGAAGCAGTTGCTGCTTTGCTTGCTTATGTGAGTGTGTTGGTGAGTGAGCCCAACAACTTCCGTTTAATGTTGCCTGCTTTGTTTGTAACTCACACAGTCGCGCCTGCCGAGACGAACTTGGAATGCGAAGGCATTGTTTTCATTTTCTTCTGTCATTTCGCTTTTTCTCATGATCGTACTGCAGTAGTCTTCACTGTTTTCGTAGTGCTTTCATCATCAGCAGCGAGTGTAACGTTTTGCTTATAAGCAGCGACCATTACTGGTGATTGTTGTTTGCCATGGCTCTAACTCTCACTGCGTGACAAAACGATCTGTCAGCGATAGTCAGTTGATGCGAAGACGAGTGTCACGTGAGGGTCATGATATTTTGCATCACTGCCCGTACGTAGACAATCGTTAGTGAGATAGAACTCGGTTGAAATGGCGAAAAAATGTTTTTCTCTGTAAAATATGACAAGCTTTACGCGGGACATCATTTCATTTGAATAGCTTCATGCCGCCGGACATTAGTTATGTAATGTTATGTTATGCAAGGGGTTCGATTGTCTTGGCCAACCATTTTTGCTTAGCAGAATGCCCCTTTTCATTACTGAGTTGATAGGGTCAAATCATTTGCCTTACAGTCATTCCAGTCTTATTCGCGACAATTTCCGAAATCAATACATTATATCAAAATTACAATCGCATCACTTATCAAGGTCAATCCTGATCCAATGAACCCAACCTACTAACAAAATATTCCCCTTGTGACCTGTGTGGGGACACAGAGGTAAACACGGTTTCCAAAACTACCATCTGATTGCAAGGACGTGGCCGGCACCGTTATTGATCTTTATAAATTGGAATTACTGAAACTTGTACAATGAGAATGGAAGGTCACTCCCAACCTCTTTCAGTTGACTCATTGTGTAATTTCGCTGGTTCTGATAAATCACGGAGTAGCAACCATAGATATGTGCAGTCAGTCTAAGCTAAGCTAAATCAGCTCACTCAAGATTCCCAAGTAACAACAATAAAATGTCATGTCTAGTGTGATACAATTTTCTAACGCAGTAATTACTTTAAAGTTGGGATGTCACCCAATTTGCGAACTCTCAACTAAAAAGCACCCAATGAGTGAATGATTACCGTACAAAATTAATAAATAAATAAAATAATCACCTAGGATTGATTCACCATATGATTTTTTGTAAACGGAGGAGTTATTTTTAAATCATTTGAAAAATGGATTAATCAATAATATAGAGTCAGGGGGCGACCCCGGCGTAGTGGTTAGCATCCATACGTGTCACACCAAAGTCACGAGTTCAAATTTCACCCCCGGACAAGTCACGAATGACCCAAGAGCGTTAAAGTGACTATAATAATAATAATAAAAAAATAAATAAAAATATAGAGTAACTCCTTTCTTGCAAACCTCATATGTATAATTCAAATGTTTCGTTCTTGAATTTAATATCGAATTAAAGCCACATCCTCACATTACTAAAAAGCCGTCTATGCAACGCGTTCAAAACACTTCCAAGCATATTAAAAAACAAAAATCAAAATCAATGAACCCGCATGCTGACGAGGACAAACACGAGAGGCTGCTGTTGAAACCACTTCAGATCAGCCAAATTGGCGTTTTCTTCCGTTCCGTTGCGCCGCCCTACCAAATCGTCTTTCCTCTCTGGTTAACCGAAAACATAATACCGGCGTAAATCAGGGTACAATCGCGCAAAGAAACCGCCCTAAATTAGTCCACAAACGGTTCGTCGGTAGCAGTAGCGGATCTTCGTTTTACGGTCCTGTTCTACTAACCTGTGCCTGAGTGAAGAGCACCCGCCGTTTCCGTCGCTGGGCCAGCGGGAATTGCATTGGCTTCGTATCCGTCATACTACACGTCGCCAGGCTGCCCATGTTGGACATTGCATGCCCCATGCTACCACCCGCGGAGCCACCCATCAGTCGGGATACTGTGCGAGAAAAAAGAAAGAAAGAGAGAATGGAGACGGATTAGCGTTAGTAATCAACCTTGTAGACTTAGTTAGCGGGATGATCACGGATGAATGGGTGAGATTTTCTAATTACTGCAAAGTGGGATCTTGTGAGATCATTCCAGTAACACACTTCTCACGGTTTTTCCGGGATCAAGTATGCTTTAAGTTGTCAACCTTTACTATATGTAGCTGTACCGTATCAGACTGCGGATCGCTCCCCCCACAGCATAGCAGGCAGTGTCGAAGGGCAAGAATTTGCATAGGTAAATCCGCCATGTTTGCTTTGTTTAGCAGTAGCAGCTGACGTCGTCGTTGTTGGAAAATTGCATACGTAAATCAATGTTATATAACTGTTGTCGCAGCAATCTACGGTAACCGCCTAGCTAGCGGGAAGCATATACGTACTAAACGGTATGCCTACAAATCGGCCCAATCCCTAAACACGGGTTCACAGCGGTGAGGATTCGGAAAATTTGCATTATTATTTTTTCGAGTGTTTGGTAAACTTTGATTTTTTTTTTATCGTTCACGCTCGTTCGGCCTATATGTTTCTCTTCCTCGGTTTGAGCTCTATTCATCTCTGTACCTCTACATTCATCCCGGGGCCCAGCTGCCATCGAGTAGGTACACAAAGCGGAGGCGAACAGGAATCCAAGTTTGCCATAAATTGTGTATGTACCTACCATGGTACCTAGACCATGTGCAATTGCCGTTAATTTATGCCGCGTCGCTTCGTGTGATGGAATGGATCAAGAGGAGGATGAAGGTAAGGTACGATCGGTTGGCAGAAATAAAATGACGGCTGACAGGAACCATCAGTGTGGAGCGTGAAAAGAAATAAGTTCAATACTTTTTGAGGCTGGAACGAAATATGATTTATCATGATTCCGGAGAATCATCTCAATGAAAAGAGGAATACTTTGTGTTTACATGCTAAATAGATTGCTTTGTGAGCTGTCAGCAGCAATTCTTGGTCTGTGGTCACGGTATTTGTTGTATTGATGGTTATAACTAGCATAATACTCTAATTGTTACGAACAAGCTATTATTATAAAGATCGGGTGAATTTCTAAAAAAAAACACCTATCATAAACCTAACGATTCACGACTCAATCTGTTTCGTAATGGAATGCATTAAGCGCAAACTTGGCCGACTTTCCGCATGGAAACCGTTAAGTTTGCTCCGAAAACACCTTTTTAAAAAGCAAATTTGTAAAACTGTACATCGACCATGGATTGCTGCCCAGCACGGTGGCGGCAATTGTTGGCGACAGTTCAACAAACGAGATTGCAACCTTTGCGCAAGTTATTTCCACAACAACCGCCACCAACGAACGGAACGAAGGGGACAAAGTTGTGGAGTCGGTTAGTAAACGCCATCATTTCGCTACCGTGACCATTGATTGCATATGATTTCCAACCCGAGCAATGCACGGGTTTGCATCAGCACCATGCATTGCAATTGCAATATGCCATTCCAGGTATTTAAATACACACACGTAAAAGTGCGGTAAAATATTTGCGCAGTTTAAGCGAAGCTGCCGTGCTGTGAGCGTACATACATCATTATGCTATGGCTGGACTAGCAGGTGGTCGGTAGGAAATGTCGGTTCAGTAACTATTGATACGATTTACCTCACAAATTTACATTTTTGTCTTTAATATAAATAATAAAGCTTGGATATTTTTTTTTTTGAAAATCATAGCAACTCTTACACCTGTTTTAGGAAATTCAAAACAATGTTCATGTGATGAACCCCACTTAAATAAAGTAATTCAAAGATAGAACAATTTTCAGAAAATATGAACAATACAGGGATTTTTAAGATTGACTCAGAATAACAACTGAAATTCAAGATGCAAAAATACTTCAACTAAATTCTCTCTGTTTGGCAAATCTGTGTAAAAGTCAAAAATTAGGTTATTGATTCTAAACATGTACAGGCTTTGTTCTGTAAACTTCATTAAACGCCAAAAAATGTGCCAATTGTATTGGTCAAACCGCAAGCAGGCAACATTGGTGTGTTTGGCGCGAAGAAAAAAAATACAGGATACTGGAAGATATAGTGCTGCCGTGAAAGCAGTTTTAATCGATCAAATATTCTAAATCTATACTTTGAACCACCCTACAAAATCGCCAAAATAACAAAAAATAAAAACAAATGGAGAAAAAGGCAAAAAATGGCTTGGAGACCCCCAGAACCGGTGCGTTGCTATTCAGGCTGCTAGTTTAACAACTTTTGGCGTTGCTATTTTAGTAAGCAACCAGGTTTTGCACCGGTCGTTGCTATTACGATTGGTGGGGGAGGGGGGGGGGGGGTGTAGTTAATCACTCAAATTTTTTTTTTTTGATAATATGGTTTTCAACAGCACAAACTGCCGTGTGGTGTTCTCCTCGAAGTATTGCTTTAGTTGTATCATGAAAACGCACTGTGGTTTGATTTCGATCAATCTAATGCCTCCTTCTCCTCGTGGTAAGGTGAAACTCACCAATGCCGTTTGAGGATGACGCTTCTCGATTTTTCGGAACACGATGCCATTGGCGTAGTTAGACATCTTCTTTAAGGGGTACAGACGTGAAAGTTTACTAGAGGGAGGCATTTCTTCCAAAGCCACTATCTTGAAAACATTTTCAAATGTTGGATCTTGAGTTTGGTTTATGTATCGATATCTAGAATTTGTTTCTATGTTTGAATAATCTTGAAAATTTGCTTAAACCTATTCGAAAGAATTCAGTGGCATTTTTTTCCCTTGATTTGTTTTCCGTCGATCTTGTTTTCCGTTCTGAGCACCAATGCTACCGACGCCAGGAAAGCAGCTCCCACACCTGGACCCTACCTATTGACCCATCAACTCATGAACCGGGGACCAACGACTTTACTTCCCTTTCCATGCAAGGCGTGATCAGAGATGTTATGCCTCAGAACATCCCGGCGGCGCCAACTGGGATTGAACCCAGGCCTGCTGGGGTGAGAGGTAATCACGCTTACCACTACACCACTAACACCGCTACCATTGACATTTTCTCAATAGTTTTTTTTAGAGTCCTCTTAGAATTCCCATAAATTTCTTTCAAAAATTCCCCTAAAATAATCTTGGGAATCTCTCTGATATTCTCTGATATTTTCTTGATAACAATCTGATAATACTCTGCTGAAAACTTCTGAAATTCGTTTTACAGTTTTCTAAGAATTCCAAATAATTATCACTAGAATTCGCTCAAGTTTCTCGACAATTATATTTTTATTTTTCTGTAGAAAATCCTCACCAATCCATTGGTATATCTCTGAAAATAAATACCTTGGTTTTCTTCAAAGAATTCCGTAGGAACTCATTTCAGTTTGATTCAAATTTATAATTATACAATATTTATAATTAGTTATAATTATATAGTAATGATACCAGAAATTCTATGAAATTTCCCTCAGTTTGTGTTTGGATTTCCCCTGAGAATTGCTTTCGATCTGTCCTCTGAAATACCTTGGAATCCTTCTCAGAATCTCTTGAAAAAATGCTAGTAATTCTTTAGAAATAATCCTCATGCATTCCTTTGGAATCACCATTAGAAATCCTTTGAAACTACCCTCAGAATTAGATTCTTTGAAAAACTTCTCGAAATTTTCTTGCAACCCTTTCAGGAATACAAACAAAACAGTTGTAGCTACTCTCATGAATCGATTTACTTGGAATTCTCCTCAGTATTACTTTACAATTATCCTTAGAATGTCGTTTGAATTGTTTTCAGAATACTCTTAAATTTCTGCTTAAATTCACCTGGAATCAATCTATAATCCTTGTAAAATTATCGTAACTATTATCTTGACATTTTACTCGGAACTGCCTCACAATTCCCTTGAAATCCTCCCCAAATTCACATTGGAGTTCAATTCAGAACTCTCTTTGAAATTAACCTCTGAATTAACTACAAATTCTCTTCCGAATCTCCTCGTACTTCATCTGGAGTATTTTTCGTAGTTCCAGATTAGAAATTATTTAAAAAATGGTTTCAAATCTCGATAAACAAAATTCTGGACTCAGTTCAAAATTTATATAACAATTTATATTTTTCCTCACTTTTCACAATTCATGCTGGATTTCTTAGAACTGCATAACATTTTGAAATTCGGAATATATATTTTGTTACTAAATTGGGCATTTGTCTTCGTTTTCCCAGTACTGGTTAGTCTATGCCAAACACAAATGCACAGTACACAAAAATATGAAAATTCGGCCTATTAGTTTTTTTTTTTTTCGTTCCCTGTAAGGTTTCACCCGTTTTGGGACACGAATTATACTAAAAATGAGAAAACGATATGTTAGAGTAAATGAAACTCTAAATTTTGAATGTATTGATAATACCTAGCATTCACAAAAAAGAGAAAAAATTTACTTTCCATACTAAAATTATCCTCAAATAGGTTTTGAGAGATGAACCAGCCTACGGTTGAAAATCTCAAAAATAAAGATAACCATAAACATAAGCACTCAAATATGTGGAAATACAAGGGAAATCGGGGTGAAACGGATATCTTTAGGATTGTAATTGTGTTATCGTCAATTAATAAAGAATTTTACTAACAATATGCTCATACTAAAGGAAAATACATACAGTCAACTTTCCATTTCTAGATATTGAAGGGACCATCGAAACAGTGAGAGATCGACATTCAGAACAGAAATTTATTAGCCTACATTCAGGAACAAATCGGATTCAAAAAGTGTATGTATTTGTTTATACAGTATCCGAAGCAAAACTCGATCGCTTACTTCAAACGTAGAAAAAACTATGGTAGTAGATTTTTCCATCGACTCATGGAGAGTTATATGTTCCAGAATATATTATTTGATCATCGACGTAGAGAACGATCGAGATAGAAAGAATATGAAGATATAGAGAACTGGATGTGCGGAAATCTGAAGGAAGTGCTTAAATCAGGCCTGGCTAACCTTCTTAAACTTGATTTTTTAAATAAATG